AAAAAGAAAAAAGAGTTTGGCAAGAATCACCACAAAGCTAAATAGTACCTGTGATCCCCAAGCCTTGGGACGTGCGCCTGACCAGAGAACCAGTGAAACCCACTCCAAGAGATGGGAAGCCTGTATTCAACACAAGACTGTTTATAAGCTCCAAAACTAAGAGCCACCAAATTTAAAATTTCACAGAAGCTGTAAACTAAAAGAATCCTTGATCTCAGTGACGTTATAAAACAAACGAAGAAAAAAGAATCCTAATAAGTGCACAAACTAATATGTCTGCTATTTAGGGGAAAATATATATAGGTACGCATAAAACATTGTAGTTAGGCAATTCAAGATCTTCAAAGATATCGTTCTTTAGATACATGATACAAACTAGCATTTTCCACATCAGTTATATGCTAACTAACAGCATTGCAGAACGTTCTATAGATAATATCAATGATATCACACAAATACGAACTAAATTTTTTGAAGAAAGTGTCATAACTTTGGAACATTATCTCTATTCTCCAAGCTTGTCGAATATTAGAAAACATGCAAATTTTCTAAAGCTCAGGGAACAATTTTGACAGGCAAACAGTGAAATGAAAATAATATATCAACATAAGCCAAAACAAAGGAAATTATATTTATTAAAAAAAAAAAAAAAAAAAAAACCTGGCTGAGAAAGCTTTAGAGCTCTGTTATACGCCATCAACGCCATGTCCTCTGCAGTTTGCCGGCTGGCGAATTGAGACGGAACCTACAAATTCACGGACGAAACCAAACTATCCCCAATGAGTATACAAAAATCCGATCGAGTTTCACTTAGAAACTTCATAAAGAATAAAAAAATCATAAAAATTGAATCTTTCTGGAATGGATACAGAAAGGTAAAATCGATTACGACCTTTCCCAGTAACTGGAGCATGGACATTCTAGAGTAGGGCACCACCGCTTCTAAGACGGTGTTCGAAGCTCCCGGCACAGACATTAACCACCCAAGCGCCTGCCCAATTTTTGGTTATGGCATTTCATCAAACAGTTTCTATACAACTAAATCAAGCGCTGAGAACTTTTAGAGCTACCTGAGAGGCGCCGCCGGATAGGTAAATCACGGCTTGAACTGGGCTAGCGTGGATCGCCTCCACCATAGCTCGTGCAGGAGCGTCCATTTTAGACTGGAGAATGGGGGCTCTGCTCCACTCCGCCTCCTCGCGGGTAAATGGTTGCCTGCGCGCGCGATACGATGTCGTATTGTAGGTTGACGGGTTTTTCTTCGGACCCGGATTAGAGTTTAAAATGGGCCAATCCAATTAACAATAAAATTGGGCCAATCCAATTAACAATAGGGTAAATTATGAAAACCTCCCTCGACTTGGAATAATAACAAAAAACACCCCCCACTATTCGTAATTACTAAAAATCCCCTAAAATTTGTTCCCGTCTTACACCAACCCCTTACGGTGTGACTTTTAACGGATTTTTTTTATTTCAAGGAATAGACTTTACACAATTTCAGATATTTTCTTTTATTTTTCACCTATTTAACATAAGGTAATAATAAACTGTACACATTTTCTGCTAAAAAATTCGACCAATATCTAATCAGAGAGAAACTTTGGTTACTAACTTATTACAGAATAAATAGAGATATTTTTTTGTTATTTAGCCTAGTAAAATTTACCCTTAACATAAAGTTAAGGGTAAATTAATTAATTATTAATTAATTAAGTAATAAAAAGTTGTTTGTTAACGTTAGCTTGCAATTATTTCGCATCCCTCCATTGTTAAATTAAATAAGAGCAGAGCGCTCCCCCATTGTTAAATTAATCGTTAGTTCTGTATAACTACTCTCTCTCTCTCTCTGCATTGCTTCTTATAGGTTTCTGCAGCACAAAGGTAACTTCTAAAGAACCCATCTTTTTCCCTTTTCATCTTTTTATCTGAATTACCAACGGTCACCTCACATCTCTTCTTCGCCAGGTGATTTTCTCGGAAAATGTTAGCTTCATTCCCGTTGCTAATCTTAATTCTGTACATCTCCGACAACACAACCCCGGCGAGCTGTCTGAATGACGAAGGCGTAGCTCTGTTGTCATTCAAGCATTTCATCAAACACGACCCGGACGCGTCACTGAACAACTGGAACCACTCCGACGAAACCCCTTGTTCGTGGAACGGCATCACATGCAAACAACAAAGAGTCGTCTCCATTAGCATCCCAAAGAAGAAACTCTCCGGGATTCTCTCTTCTTCCTCCTCCCTCGGATCTCTGTCCGAACTCAGACACGTCAATTTAAGAAACAACAACTTTTCCGGTGAATTACCCTCCGAGCTTTTCACCGCGCGTGGACTCCAAAGTTTGGTTCTTTACGGCAATTCCTTTTCTGGGCCTTTACCGTTTGAAATCGGTAATCTCAAAAACCTTCAAACATTAAACGTAGCACATAATTTCCTTAATGGGTCTTTGCCCTTATCGTTAATCCACTGCAAAAAGTTGAGGAATCTTGATCTCAGTCGAAATAATTTTAGTGGCTCTTTGCCTGATGGATTTGGGGAAAACCTGGTTTTCCTCGAAAAGCTCGATTTGTCCTACAATGGTTTCGGTGGTTCAATTCCTAGTGACTTGGGCTATCTGTCTAGTTTGCGAGAAACATTCGATTTGTCGCATAATTCGTTCAACGGTTCGATTCCAGCCAGTCTTGGCAATCTCCCTGAAAAAGTGTACGTTGATCTCACCTATAACAAATTAACCGGTCCAATTCCGCAAAACGGTGCTCTAGTAAATAGAGGGCCGACAGCGTTTATAGGTAACCCTAATCTTTGTGGTCCTCCACTGAAAAATCTTTGTTCTTTTAATAGTACCGAAGAAGCAAATTCACCTTCTCCGTTTCCTTATTTACCCGGTAATATTTACTATCGAGAAAAAGTCGGAAATGGTGGTAGTGGATTGAGTAAAGCTTCCATAACCGCCATAGTCGTGAGTGATGTGATTGGTGTTTGTGTTGTCGGGTTGCTTTTCTCGTACTGCTGCTCTTGTCTTAAGAAGAAGTATGGTGGTTTTGAGAAGAGGGGTAAGAGTGGTTATAAAAAGGATTTTTCGTGCTTCCGGAAGGAATACGAGTCGGATGATTTATCCGAAAGTAATGAAGAACAATACGGTTTAGTGCCGTTGGACGAACAAGTGGCGTTCGATTTAGAAGAGCTTTTGAAAGCGTCTGCATTCATGTTAGGCAAGAGCGGGATTGGAATAGTGTACAAGGTTGTGCTCGAGGGCGGGCCCACCTTAGCTGTCAGAAGATTGGGCGAAGGTGGTTCGCAAAGGTTTAACGAGTTTCGGACGGAAGTTGAAGCTATTGGAAATATAAGGCATCGGAATATCGCAACACTTAGAGCTTATTATTGGTCGTTGGACGAGAAGTTGCTTATTTACGATTTTGTCCCTAACGGGAATCTCTCTAATGCAATCCATGGTGAGAGTTTTGATAAATTTATTTATTTATTACCATGTTTCGTTTTATTCTTGTTTTTTTTAAATTATTTTTTGTTTCCTTAGGAAAATTTAATCTTCTATGGTCGGCTCGATTGAAGATAATGAAAGGAGTGGCAAAAGGGTTGGTTTATTTGCACGACTATAGTCCCAAAAAGTACGTACATGGCGATTTGAAGCCGTCGAATATTTTGCTTGGAGAAAAAATGGAGCCGAAGATTTCCGATTTCGGCCTTGGGCGTCTAGCTAATATAGCGGGTTCGATTTCAGAAATTCCAATCTTGCCCCCGGCTTCTCCTTCTAATTCCGTCTCGTGTTATCGAGCTCCCGAGGCGGCGAAAGGGGCAAAGCCGTCGCAGAAGTGGGATGTTTATTCGTACGGAGTGATATTATTGGAGATGGTAAGTGGAAGATCGCCGTTGGATCGAGTGGGGAACTCGGAAATGGATATCGTCCGTTGGATTGGGACGTGCATCGATGAGAAGAAACCGATTTTCGATGTGTGGGACCCGCAGTTATTGCGAGAATCGGATAAAGAAGAAGAGATTGTAGGTGTTTTGAAGATTGCGATTGCGTGCACGGAGAGAAGTCCAGAGAGGAGGCCTTCGATGAGGGGTGTGTTCGATGTACTGGATAAACTCACACTGTCTACGTGATTAATTAATAATTACTATAGTATATTTCAATTATTCCATTATTAGTCATTCCAAATTTAATTTTTTAATTTAAGTTGCATATAAGTGAGCACACGTGAAAGGTGTATAAAGATGAAATTGCCAATCCAACAGAAAAGTTTGAGCGTTGACTTGGCATGACTACTGCTCTTTTATGACTTTTATGCATTTAATTATTTTTATCTTTTTGGGGTATAATTTGTTTTAAATGAATTGGTCCCAGTGCTTGACTTCTGGCATCAAATTTCTTGTCGGAATATAGAGATTTTGGGTTTTTTATTTACAAAAAGAAAAGTAAATGGCACCCAAATGGGTTCACATTAGAGGTGGCAATCGGACGGAACATATCGAAGATGAGTTTTTCGGAAAAAAATCAATTTTTTTTTCGGAAGTTATAAATGTGTTCTAATTTCTGTTCCAAAAAATCGGAATTCAGAACTACATTCTGATTTCGGAATGACTCGGAATCGGCAGAAATTTTGTTCCGATTTCCGGGCCTATTTCGCATGTCTGTCTATATTCTTTGAAACTATGGTCTGCCGCCAATCATGCAATTTGAGGTGGCTAAGATTGAAAGAAATTTTGAACTTATAATAATTCTGCCACCAACCATTATGCCATTATTGGACATATATGAAAATCTAAAAGACTTTTGTGTTATATTTTCAGACACTTGGATCATTAAATTATTTTCTGTTAGATTTGTAGAATTATTAGTTTACTTTTTGTTTGGCATAGTTTGAATAAAATGAAGTTTAATTTTATTTATAGTGGTTCTGTCTTGAGGTATAAGTATAACTAACCATTAAAATATACCCATAATTCTATAGAAATCACTAGCCAAAAAAAATATAAGTATTGTTTTATAATGTGCATTGCACTAATTATTTTTAATGCTTTAAAAAAAACAAAAAGAAAAAGAAATCTGGGCTACTGTTACTTATTTTTCTACATTAGTCTCTAACATTCAAGAATTAATGTATGACACAGTTTCAATTTTTCATCTAATTGACAAATTTATGTACATTGCAATAATTGGTTATTAATTTAAATGGATTATTGAACCATGTTCACAATGAAAAAGAGAGATAATAGCACTTGAATGTGGTGATAAAAGCTTTATATTACCAAAAGAAACAGATAATTAGCCACATAGATCAAGGATCTAAATCCACACAAGACTATCTTCAGCCAAAAACACAAAAAAAAAAAAAAAAAAAAAAAAAAAAATTCATTACATAAGAACAATTTAAGATTAGATAACAAATCTCTCGTTAAATCGAAGTCCCGGAAAAATTAGAAAAATGCAGACGAAGAGGGCACGCGCTGGTCTTCGTCCTTGCACGCAATTCTCATCCTCTTTACTCGATCCACAAACTCCCTGTTCATTCAAAATTTATGCCATATTTTTTATCGAAATAAATCGATTTTAAGTCGAAAAATAATTGTAATATAATTTCAAGAATTTGTACAACTTACTTCCATGGAACATCCCCAACAGCCCTCCACAGCTCATCTTTGTCCTTATAATACAATGAGAATGCTGACTCAGCTTCAAACAGCCTCAGTCCAGATATTGACTGCTTCCCTATTCAATTAGTACAATAATCCCATTTATTATTATTAAACCTTCAAAAATTAAAAAAAATTAAAAAAATAAAATCCCATAAATGTATATACATACCAAACATGTCTTCCAATTGAAGTGCAAGGCTGAAATAATCCATATCATCAAGAATGCAAATCTTTCTACCAACAATAACACCATCCATATTCACTTTCACATAACTCCATTTCTGCTTGCTTTGAACCCCCTCCGATTCTTCATCTCGTAAATAACTACTCGCTTTCATCTGCGGATGAAGTTGATTCCAATCCACCAGGACCTCATAATTCTCTACAATCAAAAAAAAAAAAAAACCGACATGCTCGCAAGAATCTTTAAAAAATGTAACGAAGTTCGATAGTGTTCGATAATAGTTACCGTGACAAGAATCGGGCTGCAAAGCTCGTAGACTAAGTCCCAAATCCATGGAAACTAACTACTACAAGAAAATAAGCTATGAGTATAGTAGTACTGTATATACATATATATATGTGTATATATATGAAGGAACCTGAGACAAAGAATTAAACATGGTACCAGAGATTGTAAGAAGAAGTGGGGACAAAGGAAAACAAGACAGACTTTATCCCATCATTAATCATTGAATCTGCCATTACTAACATGTACATTGTTCAAATGAGTTAGGAAAAGGATACAAAAAAGGACAAGAGATATATGGGCTTGTGTGACAATCCAAAAGCAGGATTGGATTGTTTGTATCCCTATATTACTACAACTACATATCTCTTGAAAAGACATTAGCTAGTGTTTGTTGTCACAAAATTTGGTGAATTTATGAAGGATTTCTTGTTGGGGTTTTGTACCCATAAAACGTTGCAAGAGATCTGCTATTCTTGTTTCAGTTTGGTAGCAACTATGCAAGTTAATTTTAGCTTTAAATGCAAATTGAAGTTCTTGATAGTATCCCACATCGGAAATAAATGGATATGCTTAATAGAAGGTTTACTATAAAGAAAAGGTTTTATTGTGATATTAAGCATACCTTTCTCGGCCTTTTGGCTAAGATCAAGTGTAGTATCTGTTCTTATCAGTTTAATATCTGATATGTGGGCCATTGGCCCACACGATATTAAATTAATTTTTTCAGGGGGAGGGTCCACCAAGATAGCTTGCTATCTGGGCCTTCGAGCGTCGCCCTAGCGTTGCACTACTGCTTGGGCCTGGCGCATCCCACCAAACCATAGTTTAATTATTAATTAACTGTTAGACTTTTGAGATAAATTAATACACGAAATAATAGTTGCATATTTAATTCCTATGATGTGAGTAGTGTTATATTATGTAATTAAATAACTATAGTATCTACCATTTAATTAAACAACTGTTGTAGCTACCAATTAATTAACTATTAATTAGTTAATGGTTAATATGTAAAGCTCTTTAGTTTCATGTACTGGAATCTAATTATTTGTAAGTAGTTCTCTTGTTTTTATGTTATCCAAAAGCATTTATTAGTAGATTTTTGGGACCAAATTGAGTAGCAGGATATGCATAAATGTGATGGGTGATGGAGCACATACTAATTAGACCCATCCACACATTTTTGTATCGGAATATTCCATTTCTTTGTGGTGTGGCTATAAATATTAGCATTGAAGTATCGAAATGGTGAGTTCAGGCCAATCTGTAGGCAATGCTTAAAAACATACAGTTGAACTCCCCATATTTGAACAAGAATATAACATAACAGAAAGAAGTGAAATTGCAGCATTAAACTAATCCCA